CAGCCTGTCATAGTCTGCTTGTGTTCGGGGCATCTGATGATTGAAGGGCTCAAGCAGGTGTTGGGCTCGTGACGCGCCAACGCCTAACGCTCTGAAGAGAATCAGCGTTAGGATCTGAAAGTTGGGGATGACAAAGCCAACAGAGTTAGCCTCGTCACGGGCCATCTCGAATCGAGCTAATACTGAGTCGATTCGCTCGCCCCTTTCGACGCGGAAGTCGATAAGGGCAGTGCCAGAGTTGAGCTGGCGCTCATCTTCCAGATTTTCAAATTTGGTGCTCAGTAAGTACAGTATATATGTCACTGCATCCGTTGGCTGTCCATTGACAGTTACACCGTAATTGATGATCTGGGAGGGGACCTGCATGGCGATACGACGAGCCAGACCTTGAAGGCCTCGTTGTAGTGCTGCAGCTTGTTGTGGTGGTGTCATATTGCCACTCGTTACGTTTAACCATGCATGTACTTCGCGAACGTATTCGCGAAAAGGCGTAGTACCGGCAGGGTCCCATGAAGGGCCAGTAGTACGCGTGTCGTCCATCCCCTGCCGCATGTATCCCACAGCACATCCCATTATTACCCACAGAATGCCGAATATAGTTATCTTGATCCAATGCATGTGCATTTCGGCTTCGGTGATTGGTTTAGGCTGTGGTTTGTCAGGCTCTGGCGTAGTAGCCGTGAGGCGCCTGACTGGCACGGGATGCAGGTGGCCCCGCTGCGGGTAGCCCCGCAGGGTGACCACGTTCTCGATCGAGTTGCCGATTGGCATCTGGTGGAAGTCGGGAGTGAAGTAGCGCAGTGAAGTAGGAGAGAGCGTCTCGAGTTCGCGGGTTGCCCCGCTAGCTCGATCGCGGACTGGCTCCGCTCCTCGCAGAGCCGGCGCAACATGGTATTCCACCGTAGTAGTAGTCCACCAAGTTGTGCCGTGGATTACAGGAATCAGAGCGAGAGCCAGCCACACGAGAGTGTAGCCAGCTCCGCTACCAAGTCGAAAACAAGCTGGTAAGCTTAGGTATGTGTTACGCTTTAAGCGTTGCCATATCCCAGGCTTTGGCTCATATCGCATGAGCAAGAGTGCAAGACGAAGCATGGGATCTGGAGTAAAGGATAGGATGGGCATCGTCAATGGAAAAGGTATTTTCCGATCTCTGATGCAAGTCGTGCGCCTCAGTGAGGCACAGTCATATATTAGGCCGGGCCCGGCTTGAGCCAGGCACGGCAGCGGTACATGCTCGATTTATACCTCGCCTTTAACCTTCTCCGTTTAAAGTCGGAGATGTGTTGTTTGCCTGTCGTGCTTCTCTTCCCCGACAAGCACAGGCAATATACATTCCACCAGCCCTCTGAGCATAAGCGGTTTAACGAATGTTGCCGTCTGTCTCTCTCAAAACCCCTCCTTCCCCTGCTCGGGGGAGGGGTTACCCATCTTCCGACTCCCTCCCCTGGGCCTGGGAGGGGGGGGGGCGCGGGTAGTCAGAGCGCCCAAGATGGCCCAAGATGGCTCCAAGAGGGCCTCAGAGAGCTCAAGATGGCCTCCAAGATGGCTCAAGATAGTCTCAAGATGGTTCTAGATAGCCTTCGACACACATCCAAGAGGTCTCAAGGCGGCCTCACCCCAGATTCAAGTGCCCTCCGAGTCCTCCAAGGACCCCCCCAAGAAGCCACGACCCTTCAAAAACCTAAGGACAATCAATGGTGGTTGCCTTCTCGCCTTTTCCCTTCCGATGGGCCCTTGAGGCCTCAAGCTGGCCCCAAGACGGCCCAAGAGAGCCCCAAGAGAGACCCAACAGGGTCCCCAAAGCGCCCAAGAACGCCCAAGAGCGCCCCAAGAGGGCCTCAAGACATCATGTTTGAGCATCCGAGAGGGGGACCTGAAATAAACAACTCCCTCTTTTTGAGCCGCGGGCCCAATACGGCCCCAAGAGGCCCCCCCAGACCCCCCCAAAGAGCCCAAAGGGGACCCCTAGACCTCCCAAAAGAGCCCCAAGAGGGCCCCAAGAGTGCCTCAAGTGGCTCCGTGAGGACCCCAAGATACCCAAGACGGCTCCAAGAGACCTCTGAGGAAACACTTCCAAGGCGGTTGTTACACTGCATGCTTCTACACTTCCCTGATCAAGGAAAACTCGCCTTGCAATATGTTTCTGATTGGGCTGGTGGGGATACGCGACGCGTCAAGTAATCAACCATGCGGACAACGCGCTGCCATCGCGACTGGATTCAGCACCATGACCTGGTTGAGCACCTATGCAGCACGACTGGTAACAGCACTGGCATGACCTGGTTGAGCTCCATAACATGGATCAACATGGTATGATTATTATCTGGCCCTCGAAACTCCGCTTCAAAAAGGCAGCGGAGTGCAGAGGTTCCATCTTCACAATAAAATCGTGTTGCTGAGGCTCTTCAGCAAGTCAAGCGAACGAATCGTACTGCAGACGATCTACATGTCTGCTGCAAACAAACTACGCCGCAAGATCTCAACATTCCAGCGTCACGGATGATCATTGCCGCCTTTTTCTGAAATCAAGGGCAGCCGCACATAAGAGATGGAAACTTGGGATCCCAAAAAGGTGCGGTGACAGACCGTGCGGTGACCCTTAAATCCTGTTAGACCTCACCGCACGGTCCGTCCGTCACCGCACAGTTTTTGGACCTTGGAGGCTCCAATCCCCAGAGACATCCTCGGAGAACGTCTCGAGTCCTCCGATCGTGCGGTCACCCAGGATCCCCACTGACTCACCACACGGTGTGGTCACCGCACCATTTGGGGGGTCCTGAGTGAACTCCCCCTCCCAGCTGCCCAGAAGCAGTGCCTCAGCTGCCCGCGGAGCGCGGGGGCCTTGTCGACAGCGACATCCCTGCGTGGCTGGGGCGGGCGTGGGCAGGCGCCTCCGCTGGCGGGCGTGCGGGCCTGGCTGGCTCGCTGTCCGACTGGCTCGGGCCCGCGGAGCACTTGATGATCTTGCGGTCGTCGAGCTTGGGTGGCCTGTAGCAGATCCTCTGGCCCAGATGGCTCACGGTCGTCGAGGCCGACGATGTCTGTCGCGCTTGCGGTCGCCGAGGTTGCTCGGGCTTGCGATGCTCCTTCAGCCTGGGGAGTGGGACGGACGCGGCCCTCCGCCTGCAAGGCTCGTTGCGAATGGGACGGACACTGCCCGACACAGAGGGGGACCGCTCGTTCTCGACGGCGATCGGGCTGGTCTGATGGATCCCGGCGCACACCCAAGAAGGCCTCGGGGACTCCTCGGAGATGTCGGAGGTCGACTCGGTGTCGCTCGTCTGGCCGCTCATTGCCTCGCTGCTGACCAGCTCCACTCTTGGCAACTCGGGCGCCGTGAACGCTTCAGCCACGCGCAGGCCCGACGTGCCGCTGCCCAGGCCAGACCCGGAGATCCTCAAGCCGAGCCTCTTCAGCTCGAGAAGGTCGTGGAGAGTCACCGGAGGCCCTGGAGGAAGTCGGAGCCCATGAAGCCTGCGGATCCTGCCAGGGCCGAGGGCGCCAGAGCCTGGCGCAGCTTCACCGTGGCCGCCAGACGGTCTGCCAGCGACGGGACGCCCGCGGGCCATCTTGGTAGTCGATGGTTGCCTCGGCGCGGGCGACGCGCTGGACGCCTCCGCCCACGCTATCGCCGGCCTGAGACGCGGGTGGTGCTTGCTGACGGGTGGGAGCGTGGCGCCAGCGAGGCTCGCCATCCCTAATTCCGGGGCGTCGAGGACCAGGGATCCTAAGGCGCAGGTCAAGCGCGCTCTGAGAAAATTCACCGGACAATCACTTGAGGAAGAACGGCTTGGGCCAAAACGGCTCAAGCAAAAATGGCTACGGGCCTCTCTTGGGCCGTCTTGGGGGCCTCTTGTGCCGTCTTGGAGCGATCCTGGGGGCCTGTTGGGCCGTTGTGGACCCTGTGAAAGCCAAAGAAGCAGATATGCTAAAAATGCATGTTTACCAAAAAGAAGCCTCTGGGGCGTCCTTTTGAAGGCCTCGTGGAGCGTCGTGCGGGTCTCTTTGGCTGTCTTGAGGCCATCATGGGCCAAATCAACAGAACAATTATTTTGGCACCCCCGCAACGACACAATAACCGACCGAACAGAATCGACCGATTACAAAATCTCCGACGCAACCGAACGGACAGAACTGTGAACATCCTGGTCAGAGACCCTGGGGGCATGCTCAAGAGGCCAATACCACTGAATCCATCATGGGGTATTTGCGTGATCTTCGCATACTTGCATGTTCGGTCGGGGAAGCGTCCAATACGGCCCACGGACCGAAGAGAACCACAAGAAGGCCCGTGAGGCCTCCAAAACGGGCCATATAGAAGCCCAAGAGGCTCCCGATAGGGGCGGCTCGATAAGCTTTTGGGGTCATGCACACCGACATGGCCTCCAAGACCGCCTCGAGGCCCCAAAGAGGTCTCCAAGAGGTCCCCCCCAACGTAAACATCGCCATTGGAATATAATAGAAACAGACATTGGTATGTATTGCCTTCTTGCTGCACGGTGGACATGAGCAGATCGTACTTAGCACGTTGCAGCAATCGCGAACGACGCGCCTCTCCCCCCGATCAGGACACGCGCACACCGCCGCAGTATGCATGTGCATTGACATGCGATGCTGTAGCGTACGCGGGAGGCAGCGAGGCACACCTGCAGATGTGTTCTCAAGTCTCACGTTCAAGTCCATGTGCACAAACTTCGCGCGTACCCTACCAACGTACACCATGAACCATATACGTTCTGAGGGATATGCGCGCGCCGAGTCGATTCCATACGCGCAGAAGGGCCCACACCTTGTGCACATGGAGTGAGTGGGCGGGACGAGGGACGATGACACATCGAGTAGCCACGAGTGCGTGGGCAAGACATGCATGCTACAACTTCGCAGACTCCTCGCACAACATGAAGCTAACGCTTGTCCTGGGATTTGGAATGATTGCGTCTCCGCTGGGCCAGGCGCACGGCGGAAAGCGCAGCAGGAAGGAAACACATTCGGGCCACCGCCTCTGTAACCGCTCTGTCTTTAGACAGGTCGGACATCAACGGCGGCGTGGAACCTCCCCCCTTCTTAGCGATGCGCGCAACTCCAGTGGGTATCCAAGCAACAGAAAATGCACCTGCATGCAGAGCCCTGCCCTTGTGGTGTGGGACACCAAAGTATTTGCAAGCGGGACGTCTTCGAACTTGCCTCGCGACCCCCGCGCGCTGCCATGATGCGATAGTGTGGTGCCACAGCTGCGGCTTTGTTGCGCAGTCTTCGCATGCGCAAGTGATAACAGATACCTGGGATTTACAATTACGGCGAATGGCCCAAAGATCTGCCAATACCTCCCCAACGATGTTGTTCTCTAGACCGTCCCTCGATCAAGCATCCCAGAAGTAACCTGGCGTTTCTGCCTGGGGAACGTGAGTGGGCGAAATGCTGAAATGACGTCGCGTTGTAAAACCATTGGTTGTCTACAACGAAAATTCCACCGCGATTCCGTGGTGGGAAGAGGGAAACTGGAGCAGGGAGGCGGAATATCGGGAAAGGAGAGGGGAGGGAGAAGGAGCACGGTAATGAGGAGGCGAATGACTAAAATGATATTGATAAGGAGGACGATGGCAGAAAGAAAATTAATTCATATGAGTACGGGCATAAGGATCAACATAATTACCCGGGCGAAATACCTCAAATGCAGTTGTGGGTACCGTCGTTGTGAATATCGCCTTCAGTGGATCTCCTCATGGGGCCTTGGGTCGAGCTGCCTGTGGGGCCACGAAACGTGGGAAATATGTTAGGGGATGGGCGGGGGGGACACGTGCGAACGGTGGCGCCGAGACATCGGGTGGAACTCCCTGTTGAGCAATGAGCTGTGTGAGGGGTGTGCCAACATGGGCGGAAGACCGCATGCACATGTCGCCACTGAAACCTTCGGTGGAGCTCACCACGGCGGCACGAAACGTGGGTGCCGCTTAAGCCTTCGGTAAAGCTCCTTGTGCGGACAGGACACGTGCGAGGGGTTTGCCGAAATGGGTGGCGGGGGTGCATGCGGGCGGCACCAGTGGGGCCTTGGGTGGAGCTCCCTATGGGGCCACGAAACGTGTGAGGAGTGCGCCGGCATGAATGGCGGGGACGCAGGCGGACGGCACCATTTGGGCCTTGGGTGGGCCCCCATATCGGACCACGAAGCGTGTGAGGGGTGAGCCGAAATGGGCGGCGGGAGCGCATGCGGGCGGCACCACTTGTGCCTTGGGTGGAGCCCCCTGCGGGGCCACGAAACGTGTGAGGGGTGTGCCCACATGGGTGTCGGGGAATCACGCGGGCGACTCCATTTGGGCCTTGGGTGGGGCTCCCCACGGGGGCACTAAACGTTTAATGGGTGTGTTGAAATGGATGGCGGGGGTGCTTACGGAGAGTGCAGCTTAAGGCGGCCACGACACGTGCGAGGGGTGTGCCGAAATGGGTGGCGGGGGCGGATGCGGACTGCACCATTTGGGCCTTGGGTGGGGCTCCCCATGGGGCCACGAAGCGCCTGAGGGGTGTGCCAGCATGGGTAGGGCTCCCTACGGGGCCACGAAGCGTGTGAGGGGTGTGCCGACATGGGTGGCAAACAAACATGCGGACGGCACCTTTTGGGCATTGGGTGGGGCTCCTTTTAGGGCCACGGAAATGTGTGAGGGGTGATGCGTGGCGGGGACGCATGTGGGCGGCACCATTTGGGTTTTGGGTGGGGCCCCCTGTGGGGCCAAAAAACGCGTGACGGGTGTGCCGAAATTCAGGGCTGGGACGCATGCGAGCGGTACCACTTGGACGTTGGGTGGGGCTCCCTGTGGGCCCCCGAAACGCTTGAGAGGTGCACCGACGTGTGTAACGGGGACGCATGCGGGCGGCACCATTTGGGCAGTGGGCTGGGCTCCCGATGGGGCCGCGAAACGTTTGAGGGGTGTGCAGGAATAGGTGACGGGGACGCATGCGGGCGCGGCCTTGGGTGAAATTTCCTATGGGGCTACGAAACGAATGAAGGATGTGCCGACGTGGGTGGCGGGGGCGCATGTGGGCGGCACCATTTGGGCTTCGGGTGGGGCCCCGTATGGGACCGCGAAACGTGTGAGGGGTGAACCGAAATGGGCGGCGGGAGCGCATGCGGGCGGCACCATTTGCGCCGCATGCGGGCGGTACCATCTGGGCCTTGGGTGGAGCTATGGGGCCACGAAACGCACGAGGGGTGCAAAGGGATGAGAGGAGGGAGGAGAGGGGCGAGGAGGACGGAAAGGAAGGAACGCGGGGCATGTCTCTTCAAAACGAGGACCCATGACCACAATATGGTTGGGAACAGTATCAGGATGTGGATGCGAAAACGGAGGATGCGGATCAGAAGGAGGAGGAGGACGGGGAAAACAAAGAGTGACGAGGGGGAGAGAACGATCGTTCGTTGTCGCTGGGTCCCGTCAGACAGAGTTCGGCCCCCATGCGGGGCGCGGACTGGAGCTGGAAACAAATGTGCGTTCAGGTATCGATGTATGAGGGGAGAGAAAAGGAGGGGAAAGAACAAAACTAGAGAGCAAAGCGCCGGGCTCCTGCCTCAGAAATCTTCTCACCTCGCGGCAAGTCTCTCTTCCCCGAAAAAGGGTTCGCTTTGTTCCCGTCGATGCACTCCGGAGGAGGCCACTCGGCAGCTTGACGTGCGAAGGTCGGCCGCGATGGTTTCTGCCCGTAAAACTTCCATTTCCTGTCGCGTACCACGTGGTTCCAATCGAGCATGGGGTAGCTCTCCAAGGCTGCCTAAAGCTGGAGCTTCATCCTGCCACCGCGGTCCTCTCAGATGTCGTCCGCGTGCGGGATCCACCCCACCATGCGGCACAGCATGCGTCGCTGCACGACGGACGGCCCAGACTCCGTCAGCGGGCAAGTGTCGAAATAATAACACACGGTTTACGTAACAATTGCTTCAAACAGCTTGAAGCCGAAGAGCAACGCTGACATGCTTATTCATCAGCACGTGCTCAGAGGGAAAAAAAAAAACAAGCTTCATCCAAGCGCAGCCGATTCGGTGCTCGACAGCTGCATGGCCACGCTTCTTCAAGTCACCTGTCAAGCATATGCCGAGATACTTGTGCTTGGAGCCCGCGCGTAGTATGTCCATGGCTCCGCACTCGGTGATCAACTGCGTAACCTGCTCAACGGGCTCCGTCGTCATACACTTCGTCTTCCTTGCGTTCAGCTCCAATCCAAAACGGCCCAGCGCAACTGCCATTTATTCGAACATGGACACAGCCTCGTCCAATGACTGCGCGGATAACAATATGTCATCCGCGTGGCGGATGTTCGTCAGCCGAATTTCCTGTGGGTCTGGTGTCAAAGCGAAACTTTCTGTGGTCAGCCCAGATTTCCAACTCTCGATTGCCACCTCCAGCGTCGCATTGAATAGGGCGGTGCTGAGCACGTCGCCCTGTCGGACTCCTCGTTTGATGTGAAAGCGTCGGTCTCCCACATGCCCGATCTGCCCATCATACAGCTTTTGGCGCAGATATACATATTCGCCCAGGCCCTGTTGTTCCAGTGGGCGGAACAAGGCTTCATGTTCCATACGGTCGAAAACTTTTTTAAAATAAGAACGTGCCACTCGATCCCCTTAGAAATCACATACTCGAGCACGTTAAGGGCATGTAGCGTGGAACGCGCAAGCCGGAAACCGAATTGATCTTCTGATGGTTGGGAATCGAGGCGCACAATGATGCGGTCGTATACGGTCCCCGCGAAGATTTTGTATGTAATGCTCAGAATCGCGATAGGCCTCCAATTGCTCGGGTCCTCCGGATCCTCCCTTGTGCAAGAGCGAGAAGAAAATCGCAACCCAACTGTCCGGGATAGCAAATCCGTCCAATATATATTATTGAGCATGCCCGCCAATCGCCGAGTCACGCCCTCACCCGCATGCGCAAACATCTCCAGCATGACCCCGCCCTGATCGGAGCATTTGTTCTTCGAGATTTCGATATGGTTTTGCGCATTTCTGTCTCTGTGAAGTGAGGCACCCGGCATTCCGCGGCGCACTGCGGGGACGCGTCCGTGGAGCAAATTTGCGCCAGACGCTCTGCGCACTTTGCCATGTCTGGACGCACAGCACACGCGCGCTTGATGAATACATGTGAGTTCTTGCCAGATCATCGAAACTGGAGAACTCTTGAAGGCATTCCTTGCCCTGCTGGGTTCTCCACGCCCTCAACTGAGCACGGCTATGCCTGAAAATTGCTGGAGACAGGCGCCGCCTTTCACCTGCACTTGATGCATGTGTCCTTCGCCACCTGAGCTCTTTGAGACGTAGCGTATCCCAGGGCCACGCGGCACCCCCTCTGGGGGCGTGTAGACAGCCTTCTGCACACTCAACAAGCTTGGACTACAGGCCCGGCAAGGTTTCGGCGTCATTGGCATCGCTGCTACGAACAGCCTGTGAAAACCGCCCCCAATCCACATGTTGTAAATTTCGCCGTCTTTTCGTCCATGTTCTCGTGGGTGGTGTTATGAAGTCACGGCAAGACACAGCCCGATGATCGGATCCAAAATCTAAGAATGAGCCCGCCCAAACATGCGTGACCGAGAGACCAGAAGACACTAAACAATAATCAATTGTTCGCTTTTGCCCTAAGAAGCCCTTGAAAGTCCATGCGTATTCTGGGTCCATATGATCTTGGTCACTGCAGATGTCCAACCTAAGCTCTGTTGAGGCCTCTTGCAACGCATCTCCACGCCAACCCTGGTCTTTCTCTGAGTTGAAGTCACCTCCCAAAAGGCATCTCATCCAACGGCGATGACCGTCGCAGACAGCAGCAATAATGTCATGGTGCAAATGGAAGGGAGGGAGAATCAGGATGAGGAGCCTCGTGGTAAGGATAAAGCGGAGCGTGGGGAGGCTAAGGGGGACCTGGAGGAGAGGATGATGAAGGAGGGGCCAGAGTAGACCCAGGATCCAGGCCCTCCTCACTAGCCCCAACAGGCCTCCCTTGCAAGACAAGCGCTCCATGGGTCCGCAATTCAGGCGAACGCCCCGTTTGGAAATACGCGGTCTTGCATCCT